ATGTTGAGTTAAAAGTACTTTGTTTGCTTTATTATTTAGAAATTTATTCAGTGAAAAGACCCCTCACATAACTGGTCATCTAATCATTACTACAAATATAATTAAAATAACAATGCAACAATAGAGAAATTTCATAATTTCTGAATAAGTTCTGTGCCATAGAATAGACACTCTCTCACATGTAAATAATTGGAAAACTTTTTTTGTCAAATACAAAATTTAGTATACTTTAATAATAGGTGATTTAATTTGAAAAACTTTGAATACCCTTGAACCTGTATCCGATCTTCAGAAAGACCTTCGAAAAAAGGTATTTCAAAGTTAAAGGAATTGTTCTTCTCAATATTATCAGAAATTTAATGACCAAAAAATAATAAAAAAAAATTACTATAGACGCATGTAGTTGTCGGAGGACTGGTAAAACTTTTGAAATTACAATTTCGGAAAAATTTTACACCCATATAGTCACCTGGCAGTTCGGCAATCTTTATATGAGGTATATGGGGACTCAGGGAAGTATGGACCCGATTTGATTCATTTTTGACTCAGAGGTGTTATTATCAGGAAAATATTCTCTCTGAATTTTAATTGTATATTGAACACATTAACCGATATTTTCGATCAAAATTTTACTTTAGATACTAGGGTCCACATATTCGGTACCTAGGAGCATGAACAGTTGAAGAATATGTGCCTTTTAAATGTTTTGCTAACAGAACTGTAACTGTTATTATAAATATGGCAATAACTGTAATCAGCTGACTTCGAAAACCTCTTCCCTCAAAAATCAGTCTTAAAAAGACAAATAAATTTAACTAAAATATTTTATGTTCCTTTATTGAGGATCCGATAAGACCAAGATGGCATCAGAAGTTTAAAAAAAAAAGCTCAAATAGGCAGGTTTTAAACAGAAAATACATCTTAAATTAAAACTCTAAATTTATCACGTGCTTAGTCTTAACTAATTTTACCCATAAACTGCGTAAGTTTATTAAAAACGCTTTAAATACTTTCTATATTAATTATTTTATAAAATATATAAGGGCTTATCAGTCCATTTGTTCTCCCTATTATTGCTAACGGTTTTGCCATCTTTCAGGTTATGATTACATATTTCTGTTTATTTATGCAAATTTATATTTCTTCGCTTTCATTTCGCATTTTTTTCATACAACTTTTTTAGTTAATCATTTGCCATATTCTTAGACACGGTGTCACCTCGTGATTCACGTTGGCCAACAATGACATCGTCAGCAATATATTTACTGTAACCATAACGCGTTGATTTCATATAGCGAATACACTTACACATACATACAAACATATCGTCACCTGAAATGAAGAACAAGGTATCATCAAAAAAAAACTCGAAATTAAGTTTTTTATTGCTAACGGTTCACCACATCATATTACACGCATAACCATTTCATAACCAAAACTCAAATTTTTTTCAATATGAGCGGTTTCTATTATATCGTTTTTCCTCCGCCTGTAAACTTATGAAAGTGATGTTACATTATTTTGCATTTTAGGTGACGATATGTATTCGAAAAACTACATTTTTGTTTCCGCTTATTTAATTTAGGCGCGTAATTTGTCGCAGAAATCATCTATGCAAGAATTTTATATTTTTATTTATGTTCTCTAAACAAAATTTTTTAAATGTGTTGTAGAAGAAAAATAATTTTCAATTCTAAACATTTTTTTCATACTTTTTTTTGTATAATTTCACATATTGTTCCTATTTTCTGCGTTCACGGCGCATTATATATTATATTATAATATTTTATTATATAAAAAATTTTAATAATTTTTTGTTTACAAAAACTTATTCTCTTCATCCAACAAGCTTTTCAGCCTATAAATATGCTTCAAATTTTATTTTTAGCTCTCTTCCTTCCAACCGATTCGCAGTTAACTTATAATTGCAGCTGCGTGGCTTTGCAAAGTCAATCCGCTGTTTGTATTTATTGGTGTGTGTTTTCAGGTATTTTTTTTATTTTCCTTTAACCTGCGTGCATATGCATACACACACTCATATATGTACATGTGTATGTACATCTATCAAGAGTCATGCGCTGGCATTTTACATACAATTTGAATGCTGCAGATTTGGCCTCGTTGTAACAACGTTGCTGCAGTTGTTGTTGGTGTCCTCATTTGCTTTTGACCCCATTTTCGAAAGCTTAGCGTGCGGCTGTGTATGTGTTGGTGTGTGTATGTGTACACACAGTATTTCGTGCAACATGCTGGCGAAAAGTTTAATGTTTATATTTTTTTTGAGATTCCATTTTTTTATATTAAATGTTTTTACAATATTTAAATGCAGAAACACATTAGTTTGTGGGGTCTATGAGTACTACTATACTATCAGCTTCATTGAGCTTCATTTAAGACGCGTTTCTCTTTAATTTGCGTTTTCTATATCGGTTGTCAAAATTACTCAACCGATCTTAATGAGATTTTTCAGTTTTTCGAAATATATAATAGTTTTTGAGTTTTTTTTTTAATTACAGCTATCAAAAAAACGAGAAATTTTCACTTAATTTTTTATTTTTTTTGTAAAAATTTTCAAACATTTTTTTCTTTAGTCCATTATCTAGTTAGTGTTCTCAATTAAAACAAGTACTCTTTCTCTTTACTTCATATGGTCCTTTACGAAATTTTGCTATCAACGCAGAGGCACCTTTTATTCAATCGCCTGCCGGAAATGATATTGTAATTTCCTTCGAAATTTCCACAAAATCTTTGTAAAATATAGTATGTATCTTTGGAATAATGAAAATCCATCCAACGCATACATTATGGTGTGTAAAAAAACGAATCCTTATTTTTCGTTAGTATTTTGAAAATTGGTTGATAGACACCTCTAACAAAAGTTATAATATGGGCTCTTAATTGTAACGGGAAATTCCTCCGCTCAACTGTTTTTTTTTTTTTTTCTTCCTTTTTATCAGATTGAAAAAGTCATATCTCGCTCCTAACTTGTTGAGAAGACCTCCTACTAGAGAGTCTTACCTAAAAGTGTCTATCAACCTTTTTTTTAAATACCAAGCGAAAGAAAAAACAATCGGTTTGGTCCCACCCTAATTTATATATGCAATTTGTGCGTTACACTACGCGTACGTCTATAATAGAAATTTTGAGTAACATATTTAACATTTCATATGAAAAAAAATTTTTGAAATCGGCCGTTTTTTGTTCGAAGAATAATCAATACATAACTAAAATATGTATTTTTTTATTTTATTAACTATTTATATACAGAGTCCTTCTGCCAAAAAAGAAAGCATTTCAAATGCGATTGCCTGATAAATTTTTCTACCACATTTTTGACTATTTCGACTATTTTAAAAATAGTAAAAATTAAATTTGGGAAGACATAGACAAGTTCATAAAGACGACACTATGTCGGGTTAATTCGTCCAGTAGTGCTTGGGAATTCATGGGTATCGCTTTGAAATAGACCGTTTAGAAAAAAAAACGTGTTTAAAGTTTCCATCATTAAAATACTTATAACTCAGAAAATAATTTGAATTTTGAAAATATGTTTTTAAAGTCGATGAGGAAAATTACTCGAAAACTGACTGACTAGACTGATAGATTTGATATTTTCCACAAAATTCCTAAATATATTTATCGCCTGATGATGGAAAGAATCAAATTATGGTAATAATTTCAAGTTTTTAGGCTACACCCAAGAAACTTTTTTTAAAAGACGCCATTTTGTAAAAAATCAAAATTTTTACTAGTTCTTCGTTCATTATTTATCTACAATAATAAGAAATACTTTTGGCATCATTTTAAGCTGAAAAATCTTCCTCAATGCCAGACTCCTTTTATCGAAGGCCCTGCTGGACATCGGCTACGTTAACTTTGTTTATTAAGGGGTCAGTAGGGTAATCTGGCCTGTGTTTTTGATATTTTTTTTCATAAAAATTTTTATTCTACAAAGAACTTTTTTCACATATGAAGTATGTATATCGTAAAGTGTATAAAGAATTTTTTCGGAATTTTTTGATGTCATCTGTCGAAGAAATGGCTGGGTGAATGAGACGCGTTTTTTCACTGGCGGACACGATTTCTCGTGTTTGGATCATCCGAAACACAAAAACTCAATTTATTCTTAAAAAGTACGTGAATGGTTCGTCCCTACTAGAAACATGAAAAAATGTTGATAAATAAAAAAGCAATTAACGTTTTTTTTTTTATTTTTCCCCATTTTTTTTTTTACATAAATCTTGTCAGACCATTGTCGATAAACTATTAAAAAAATAGAGGGACGATAGATAGCCAGGCGTTTTGTGAACAGTTTGAAAAAAATATTAAGCAACCCGAAATCATGTCAGCCAGTTTAAAAAAGTGTGTTTTGAGAAAAACGCGTTTAAAGTTTGAGGTGTGCACTCCGAGCGCTCCGAACGTCGGCATTATTATTTTTGTACCTTTTTCGAAACCTTCCAATGGTAAAGTGGGTTTCTACATTAATTCTAAAAGTATAAGGAAGCAGAAAATGCCAAAAAAATTTTTTTTTTTTTAAGATTATCTTAATGATCTTTTTAAGTAAAGTTTTCAAGTCTTATGAACATATTCGATGTTCAAAACTTGAATGAGGATTGTAAATGTTGTTTAGAATCTTGAACGAAATTGTCGCGTAGCACGTAAAAATTTGATTTATTTTGCTGCCGATTGATGGCGTCAATAAAATGTATAGCGGCATATCACCTAGTCTAGTTAGGTCGCTTGGGCGCTTCCAATGCAATTGCTTAACAGACCTTATATGGAGTTAATTATGTATATTATATTCTTGAGCGCAATTAGCTCACAGAACGCTCATCCTTAATACACCCTTTCTCTATACGAAATTACATTTTCCCACATGACTCCTTTCGATTCCTCACTGTATATTCGTTTGAATATTTTCTAAATTTCTCTTGACATACGCTTAGCATTTGGTTTTTTTGCTTCAATAAGTCAACATTTCTCCATTTGTTTCATTGCAGCATTTCAACAACAAAAATCAGCAAACTAAAACCACTACAACGGCAGGGCTTTTCTGAGGCACGTGCTGAGAAATCGGTTGCTGTAGCTGTTGTTGCTTTGTCTGGTCCACCAACTCATTGCACCGATTTCTCATTTTCACCTGGAGCGACAGCGGCATAAGACACCCTTGCATATACAGTTAAATAAATATTTCCGAGCTGTCACTCACAAGCCGAAGTCTTACACGACAACTGACGCACGCCACAACGACTTTTCCAGCGCACACTACTTGGCTGCAGAAATCAACTGAAGCGCTTCTGGCGAAGGCGACCTTGAGATTTGGTGCATTTGGTGTAGACGGTGACGTGGAAGCACAATAAAGTTATTGTAAAATGTCCTCACCCAGCGCTGGTAAGCGACGCATGGACAATGATGTCATCAAGCTAATTGAATCCAAGCACGAAGTCACCATTTTGGGTGGCCTAAATGAGTTTCATGTGAAATTTTTCGGACCACATGGCACACCCTATGAGGGTGGCGTATGGAAGGTGCGCGTCTACCTGCCCGACAATTACCCATTCAAATCGCCAAGTATAGGGTTCGTGAATAAAATCTACCATCCGAATATCGACGAATCGTCCGGCACGGTGTGCCTGGACGTGATCAATCAGGCTTGGACCGCACTATATGATCTCTCAAATATATTCGAATCATTTCTACCACAATTGCTGACATATCCGAATCCGGTTGATCCGCTGAATCGTGATGCAGCGGCGTTGTACTTGCACGAACCGGAGGAGTATCATCGCAAAGTGGCCGACTATGTGCAACGCTACGCCACCGAGGAGGCGTTGCGTGCAGCGCAACAGGAGCGAGAGAGCAGCGACAGCGAATCGAGCATGTCGGATTATAGTGAAGACGAAGCCCGTGATATGGAATTATAATATCGGTTTATGGTTAAGCTAATTATATGAATTTGAATTACATTTAAATAAAAACAAATACAAAAATATAACAAAAAAGCAAAAAAACGATACAAATACATATACACGTTCACACGCATACTACGTAAACATAAAACAACAAACACACACACACATACATACGTGCATACTACAATCCTACCTAGCAACTAAAATAAATGAAACAAGTTAAAAGAACACAAAATATACATACATATATAATGAATTATGAAGAGGAAATATAACAAATTTGAAAACCGAAAACCGTTAAACGAGATATTCATGAGTATTTGTGTGCGTATATACAGATACATATAAACAATAATGGAGCACGGTTGCCACGCGCCAAGCACAGGCAGCTTGAAGCGCTGCATAGCAACAATAACAAGAACAAAAACACAAGCAACGTGCAGAATTGCGAAACTTTGACATTGTCACACATACAAGCAAACACACTCAAGCCAGCCAGCCACGAGTTGTGCCAACAAAAACAAGGCCAATGTCAATGTCAAGCCGAATGGCTAAGTGCCTGATTGCCAGTTGGTGGGCAGCGTCTGGCTACAACAACAACAACGATACCAGCTGCAAAATGTCAGAATTCAATATAACTGTATAACCACACCACCAACGATGCAGCGCATGATCCTTGCTCTGGCCAACAAAAACACATAACTGCAATGAACAACAATTAAAACAACTGCTAACGATTGCTGCTGAAAGTCGGCAGCATGCAGCTTACAGTCGCGAACAGCGACAGCACCAGCAACAAAGCAAAATACCTACAAAAACAGTAAAACCAAGGAAAACTAGCAGCAAAAGGAAAGGAAACAACAACAAAACCACCAACTACTACTACATACATATAACAATCATCACATTGCGCACACAAACGGAAATCTATGTTTTATGTCAAATTTGAATTCGATTCAATTGTTTTAAATTTAAGCACATTTGGAATATTGGCAAATTTTATAATTTTAAGCTCTGATCCTTTTTGTAACTCGTAAGTCGCCATTCAAAACATTCATATTAATGATTTTTTAATTTGTTTAGCTTTTCTTAATTTTTGTTTTTGTAATCTAATTAGTATACTCTTGCATATTTGATTTGGTATGTGTTGGCAAAATGCAACAACAACAATCAAGAAGAAAAAATATAAATAAAACCAAACAGATGCATACAATTATTCTAAGTCTTTCGAAATAGATTTAAAAAAAAAAAAATTAAACAAAATTAAAAAATATTTGTTTTGTGTTATTTTTTTGCGAAATGCTGAGGATGTCTTTCACAAGTACTAGGTTGTAGCTAGAAATATAAGCAAAAACAAATTATACTCTTAAACGCTCCGCTCGTTTATATTTAAATTATTGTTGTTTGTTTAGAGCATCAAATATTAAATGTACCCACAATAACTGAAGATCGTAAATTTTTGGTTTTCCAAGTCTGGTTCGAAATTTCTAAATCGTATTAAGGAGAAGGAAAAACTCGTACTCGTACTCGTACATGTTTTCTTCAACTTGCGCATAATAATTTTATAATTTTGAACTTTTCTTGGTAAAAAAATAAACTTACCAATTGCTGGACTCCAAAAAGTATGCTTATAAATTATTAACATAATTGCATTAATCTCTAAAAAATATTTTGTATATGAAAGATGTACGCTGGCATTATTAAATTAAATGTTTGTGCAGAAAATATCTAAACTTAGTTTTAAAATTTGCTAAAAACATACACTAGGTTAGTTAGTTACTGTACTTCAAAAATATGCTTCTTTATTGACGTAGATACCGCAAATGCGGTTATAGTCGATTTTACTAAAAGGTGTGCTTACAATTGAAAAAAAAACTGCAAAAAAAATAATTACGTTTTTCTCTAAAAATGATATCGTATATGAAATTTCGAACTAGAGCGCCTAAAAGATGCAATGGATAAACTTTTCTTTATTGTTTAGTAGTTGTCAAAGAGCTTGCTATTGTGAGGTAGACTTTTAGGTGCACACGTTGAGCTTTCCTAATTTTTAAATGCTTTTAATAAATTTATAAAATTTTGCCACATTCTCCCTGATTTGATAAATATTGTGCAATATTAGGATAATTGGCAATATCATAAGCTGGCACTGAACGTTTGTAACAACAATTTCTTTTGCTAAATTGGCTTTTAAAAGTTTGAAAGATCTAAGTCTAAATATGCGCACTAAGCTTTGAATAAAAAGTGATAATTTTTATATAATTTTCAAAATATTTGAATTTTTTTTTGCTAATTTTTAAAGTGGTTTTTTTATTTCCGTTAAAATATGATATTTTACAGAAAAAT